GCTTGTTATATGGTTGAGCCCGAAGCCGTTTGTTATATAATTGGGCCTAAGGCCATTTTGAATATATGAATATATGACTATGGACATTGTGAGAATCTTATGATCATCTATTTACACTATTTTATCGTATTATTATTTACTGAGCTTCGCTCACCCAAATATTATGTATGCATATGTAGGTAATCAGCAGCATGGAGCACATCCCTAGAGTCAGCTTCATGAGCTATTTTGTAACCCAATCGAGTCATGCCACTGAAATGGAGTTTTGTCTTTAACTCACACCACACCTTGGCCTTATTTTGTTTTTGCCATTACGGTCTTGGGTTTGTAAACAATATATGTAAATTTCTTGTGGCACTTATATTTTTGCTTGGGTATGTAAATGTGTTAATGTGTTATGAGGTTATCTTCATAATTTTTGCTCATGATTGGCATAACTTAATGGACTTCTCTTTATTATACGTTCCGTTTATTGTCCTATTAGCATAAATATTTTGTATGATCGTTTGAGACCTTCGGTAATCTACAGGTTATTGGCCGATTATTACCCAAATTTTTGAGGATGGTTTCGTGTCATGAGATACTATCAAATTGTCACACACATTGACGTCATTAATGAAACAATAAAATGATCAAATTACTCACTTTTGTCTATATTTCATACACTTATTTTCTCTTTCAAGGACATCAGAAACCACTACAATATTAAAAAAATAATAATAATAATGAGAAACCCTAGTCATGTCCGTTAACCTCCCCACTTCATTAAAAAAAAAAAATCCTTCAATTTAAAAAAATATATATAATCACTTTGTTTAGTTTAAAATTTTCAAAAATATTTTTTTTAAATTTTAATTCGTATTTTTATATTTATATTGATTTTCCAAATTTTTAAGGATGGTTTCGTGTCATGAGATACTATCAAAATGTCACACACATTGACGTCATTAACGAAACAATAAAATGATAAAATTACTCACTTTTGTCTATATTTCATACACTTATTTTCTCTTTCAAGGACATCAGAAACCACTACAATATTAAAAAAATAATAATAAAAATGAGAAACCCTAGGCATGTCCGTTAACCTCCCCACTTCATTAAAAAAAAAAAATCCTTCAATTTAAAAAAATATATATAATCACTTTGTTTAGTTTAAAATTTTCAAAAATATTTTTTTTAAATTTTAATTCGTATTTTTATATTTATATTGATTTTTTAAAAATTATTTTAACCAACTTTTCTAACTTTTAAATCCACGTAATATTGATATACTTATAAAATATAAAATTTGTATAAAAATTTTAAAAAAAAATTATTGAATACAACAAAATAGAAAAATATATTGAATTTTTTTTTATTTTTTAAAATATTTTTTTCTATTTAGTGAATTATTTTTTTTATAAATATTATATTTTTTAAGTGTATCTAAATGTATCTAAAAAATAAAATTTTTACATAGAATATTTAAAAATTTCATTAAAAATAAAAATACACAGAAAATTAAAATCTTAACTTTTAGAAAAACAGTGTAAATCAAACAAGGTGAATGGTTTTTGATGAATTTCAAATAGTCAACGAGTGTATGAGATAATAAAAAAGATGATGGTAATTTGGTCATTTCATCGTTTCTGTTAACAGTGTTCGACATTTTATTAGTAAAAGAGTCTAATTATATATATTTATAATTTAGACATTCGTGATAGTTCTCAAGATAATAAAATAATATTTTATAATGTTTTAAAAAAATGATTAAAATTTAATTTTTTAATTTTTTGATAAAAAATATAAAAAATAATGTGATTTAAAATAAATTAAAAAAAAAGAAGTTAGAAAATAACTTTAAAATAACCCTTTACGATAGTACAAGGAATTTGTATATAATTAACCAACAATGATTCATCCCACTAAAAATATCACCACTAATAGCATTAATGCATTAAAAAAGTAAAAAAAATAAAAAATACAACTTCAAGACCAAAACATCACATCATTACTGGCGAGACCCACTACCACCTAATTAGTGGGAGCACTAAGCATTATTCTATAATTAACTAATTACAAAAAGATACTTTAGTCATCAAATAAATAAAATTATGGGGCGTGACTTTCAAGCTGACGGATTTACTGATGGCTAAAAGATGAAGGGAATGTACGTGATAGATTTTGATAGTTAAAGGAGCCTAATTGTATATTTTTTAAGTTCAAGGGTTAAAGTGATATTTTATAATAATTTAGAGATTTTATGTAAATAGAGTAAATTATAAATACATTCTTTGAGATTTGATTAAAATACAAATTGTCTTCTGTAATTTTGAAAATTACATTTCACTCATTGAGATTTCTAATTTTATAATAATCGCTCATTTTATTAATAAATTATTAAGTTAATTAACAGTTTTTAATGATATTAAAAATATATTTTAATTAATAATTTAGGTAATTTTATTATTGTATATGAGAGCAATTATGAATTTTATTTTTTTAGTTATTTATGTTAAATAAAAAATTCTAATAAGGGGGTATTTATAATTTTTCAAACCACAGAAAGTAATATGTATTTTAAGCAAACTTCAGAGGGTGTATTTGTAATTTACCCAGGTAAATACTTCTTTTATTTACGAGAAATTATTGGTTGGTCTGGGGGCAACACCACATAATGCTTCATATGCATTGTGATTAATAGAAGATGTGAGACTCACGATTTTGTATTAGGCAATTGAGAAATATGAGGGACATGAGAGTTTGTGATTGACTGGGGTCATAACTGCGTGGTCCTGATGACCAACCAATAATTTTTCAGATAAACTACCAATAGGTCCTAAGTTAGACTTAATTCCCATAAGTTCTATTGAAAAATAAGTTCTAGTAAAATTGTTGTTAAAAATAATTTTTTGTAATGATTTTTTTTCATGTGTCGCTAAAATTGATAATTAGTGATTTTTTTTTCAACGATTTTTATAAATTGTCTATAAAACTTATAATTAGTAACGTTTTTCTATAACAATTTTTAAACTGTCACTGAAAATTAAAAATTAGTGATATTTTTAAACTATCGCTAAAATTTATAATTAGTAATATTTTTTTAATAATATTTAATAAAAAAATATATTAATTATTATAGGTCTCGTTAGAGCATCTCCAATGGTATTGCCAAAGGAGCTGCCAAAGCTAAAATTTGACAAAAGTGAAAAAAAATGGTCTCAAATGGCATGCTATTTCCCCTGCTAAACATAGCAGATGCCATTTTTGTTGCCAAATTTGACAATGGAAATGGCATTTGCCAAACATGCCATATCATCAAGAATTAACAGATTTTTGGCTCCAAATTTAATTGACAAAACAGAATCCATTCACGTAGAAAAACAGAATTCGTTTACCAATTTTTTAAAACAATTTGGCAATTGCCAAATTCTTTCTTTCTTTTTTTTTTTTGAAACAAAATTCACCATTAACTCAAAAAAAAAAAAAGGACCGAATTAGGTTAAAAACAACAACAATCAAGCAATTTCAAACAAATTTGAAACAATCTTAACAAATCTCAAACAATCTGAAGCAAATCTCAAGTAATCTGAAAATTTGAAGCAAATTCTAAACAATAAATACATAAATTTCAAGATGCTTGATGGATTTCAGATAATTTCAGCATTTTGAAACTTCAGCTTGATCTTCTTTATTTTCATGGGGGTAAGAGAGAAAGATTGAGGGGAGAGAGAGAGATAGATAGATGGAGTTGGTTGTTGTAGGTTGTTCTATTTTGAAGCTTAGAAAAGCAGAATGAAAGTGTGGTTTTTTTTTAATGGGTTTAATCTCATATGGGTGAAAAGTTTGGTATGAAGGTTTTGGAATGAGTTTTATCTCAGCGAGTAATTTATTTATTTTTTTCAAAAAAGAGTAATTTATTTTTTCATTTTTTTTAAATGGTCACAAAAGATAAAATAAACAAAAAAAAAATTACTAAAAAATTTATATTCAAATAACACTTATAAATTTAGAGAGAAAGTTGATTGGGATTTGTCAGAACAACAATGATAGAGACCACTAATTTTGAAACTCTAAAAATACCACTAATGACATGGCACTCAATAAAAAAAGAAAAAAAATACAATACTAAAGCCAAAACATCAAATCATTCATGGTGGGACCCACTGCCACATCATTAATGGTAACACTAATTAGTACTCTCACTCATTTTCCTTTGTCAGAATAACATGTGTGTGCCATTGGAACACTATTACTTGATAAATTACTACTATTTATTATCAAATAATAATAATAATAATAATAATATTTTAACAAATACCGTTGAAGATACTTTTAAACAATAAAAAGTCTACTTTTGTTTCAGTACATAAGTCCCCTAAGTTTTCTTTATTTACAGCTTTTTGTTCTGACGCCCCTGAAAGCGCGTGTCTTGGACGGTCTTTCCTTGTATTTTTTTATTTTATTTATTTATGTAGGTATTCAAACCGCCCGTACAACCCGCGTAGAAAGGGCTGAGAGAGAGAAAGAGAAACCAAGTCAGCAACCATGACTCTTCGCCTCTCTCTCTCTCTCTACTCTGCTCTTCTGAGATCTGATTTACCTTAAAATATTGCTTGTCAATGGTGATTTGATACAATCTATTTCTATATATATATATATATATATATCTGTAGTTCGGTGGTTACACTGGCTCTGAAGATATACATTAATTAGTGCTCTCACTCATTTTCCTTTGTCAGAATAACATATGTGTACCATTGGAACACTATTACTATAATTTGATAAATTACTACTATTTATTACCAAATTATAATAATAACAACAATATTTTAACAAATACCGTTGAAGATACTTTTAAACAATAAAAAGTCTACTTTTGTTTCAGTACATAAGTCCCCTAAGTTTTCTTTATTTACAGCTTTTTGTTCTGACGCCCCTGAAAGCGCGTGTCTTGGACGGTCTTTCCTTGTATTTTTTTATTTTATTTATTTATGTAGGTATTCAAACCGCCCGTACAACCCGCGTAGAAAGGGCTGAGAGAGAGAAAGAGAAACCAAGTCAGCAACCATGACTCTTCGCCTCTCTCTCTCTCTCTACTCTGCTCTTCTGAGATCTGATTTACCTTAAAATATTGCTTGTCAATGGTGATTTGATACAATCTATTTCTATATATATATATATATATATATCTGTAGTTCGGTGGTTACACTGGCTCTGAAGATATACATAAACACGCAATCACAAGCCCCTGATTTTTTCTCCTTCTGTTGATCAAGCTCAAACTGTAAGTCTCTCCAATCTCTACATATATTCATTCATTTAGGGATCAGATCTAGTACTTTGAATGAATGGCTGAAATGTACTGATTTTAATTTGTTTTTCTTCATTGTCTGGTTTTAATTTGAAAAATTGAGTTCGTTTCACTTTCGAATTCGTGCTTTCCTCGAGTATATCTGGAACAAATTATGAAGTTTTGTGTAATTTATTTCAGATTTTTTTTTGTAATTTTCTTTTTTCATTTGCTGGGAAATTTAGGGTTTTTTTTTTTTTTTTGGATTGTTGCTAGATTGAAATAAAGGTGTTGTGATTGGAGAAAAGAGAGAGAGAAGATGACTGAGAGCAAGAGGTTTCAGCTCGGGACCGTTGGTGCGCTGAGTCTGTCAGTGGTTTCGTCAGTTTCAATTGTGATCTGCAATAAGGCCCTTATTACCACATTAGGTTTTAATTTTGGTGAGTTGCTTACAATCAATTGCTTACATTATGTTTTCTATATATTTTTCTTAATTGTATTTACTATAAATTTAATGAAGTTCTCCATATGAGAACTGTATATTCCAAAGCTATAACTGAACCATTCAGTGGGGGGAGCTATGCAACCAATATATGAAGTACATGCAAAAATTTCAATCTTGCTATTGACCAATACCACCAAAAAAAAAAGAAGGAAAATTAGTTCCTAGTCCTACTGATTTTGATTTATAACAAATACTTTGGAAAATCTATTAACCCATTTAGTTTCACTTAGAAGATTAGGAGATGAATTCCCATTTTTTAATTTTAACAATTTGTAATGAATATTTTTCCCTTAATTTAAAATGATATTTATATCATTGTATTTATTGTATGCATAAGTATTTAAATTTTTTATGGAATCAAATCTCCACAAATCTATTTTGCCACCACAATCAATCATGCCTCAACCAACGTAACTACTTTGCCATCTAAATGGGGATGGTGCTTCCCACCTTCATGAATAAAAAATGGTGGCCTTTTCTGATGAAATTCAACACTACTGTACCGTATCTTTTTTTAAAGATGATTGATCATCATCGTGATCAATCAATATTCACATCTCAATGGATGAACCTACGATTATCTTTCATGGATTAGAGTTTCTCTATGTGGTTTTTGTATTTTCGTAGTGTAATAAAGTGTGAAAGTTCACAATTTTTTACCATATTTTTTTGTATTTCAGAATAAAAAATTTAATTTCACACTTTTTTATTAGTTGATTTTTGTAATTTCAATGTGAAAAAGTGTGAATATTCTCACTTTCAATTAAATGATTTAAAGATGTGATAATGTTCTAATAAATTTATTGATCGAAAGTGTGAAGTATCACACTTAAAACTTGTGTGTTACAGTTTTAAGTTTGGCTATTCATGCTTTAACTTTTTTACACTTCCTAGAATCTCACTTTTTTATTCATTGGACGTGTTTGACAATTACAACTTGGAAATGATATAATATGCATCCCTAAAAAAGTGCACATTGTAAGAAAAATTATGATTTTTGTGGTGAAAGTTAAAAATTTTTGTGATGGAAGTCATGATTTTTGTGGTGACAGTTATGAATGGCAAAGCTATGGTGTGCACCCTTAAAGTTATGAATGATAAAGTTATACTTTTTTGTGATAAAAGTTAATACTTTTTGTGATGAGCTAAAAATTATATTTTCTGACGAATAAAAAGTTACTTTTTGTGATAAAAGTTGCACATTTTGTAGTAAAAGTTGCACTTTTTGTATAAGGTGCAATACCGTATGCACCGTTTTTGGGGTGCACGTAGTAGCCTCTCCCTTACAACTTTTATTGTTATCATAAATTCACACTAACAGTAATTCACATAATTATATATAATATAATACACAGAGAATGAGTCCAAATGGAGCAAGTACTCATGAATTTCTCGTAAAAATAGATTTTGTTGCCAAATTTGTAACTATCTAAAAACTGGGTTTTTTGGTCTTTTGTATAGCTATGAGACTTGTTGGGTTTATAGAATATCTTTGGGACTTAATATGATACGATTTCTATCTATAGGACTTTTTGTTAAAGGGGCTAGAATTCCTCTCCCAAGTCCCTACATGGGAAAATTTACAGGTGTTCGGGTCTTATTAGTTACAGGAGGCTGATCACGAATACATGTGTGGGAGTTTTTTTTATTCCCAAGTATATATATATTTTATTTAGTTTTAAATTTCTACATTGTTAAGGTGTAGTTCATGGTTTTTTTCACATGTTTCTTTAGTTTAGTCAATAGCAATTAGGTAACAAGAATCTAGCACAGTAATATCAGTCTATAAAACACAATTGACAGTACTGTGAAGATTCTAAATCTATCGTGATATGTTCTTCTGCTTGGATGGCTTTTCTTGGTTGGATATGTTGTAATGTGTCCTACGGCGCCTGAAGTTGTCCCATATGTGCTGGTTATAAGGTTATAGTTTCTCTCTCATTAACACCTGGGTTTTGGTTTTTTTTACATGTTTCTTTAGTTTAGTCAATAGCAATTAGGTAACAAGAATCTAGCACAGTAATATCAGTCTATAAAACGCAATTGACAGTACTGTGAAGATTCTAAATCTATCGTGATATGTTCTTCTGCTTGGATGGCTTTTCTTGGTTGGATATGTTGTAATGTGTCCTACGGCGCCTGAAGTTGTCCCATATGTGCTGGTTATAAGGTTATAGTTTCTCTCTCATTAACACCTGGGTTTTAAGGAAAAGTGTGGGCTGAGCTTTTCAATTTGGTATCCGAGCTTGGTTGGGCCTGTGATTGGTGTGTCGTTTGTTCGGCTACTGTATGTTGTGGTCCAAGAGGGTGTGTTGGAATGTATCCCACATCGCCTGGAGTTGCCTCATCTATGCTGGTTATAAGGCTACAGTTTTCCTTTCCTTAACACTTAGGTTTTAAGGAAAAGTGTGGGTTGGGCTTTTCAATTGGATATTGGTGCAGTTCTTAGAAATAAGACTTCATGTGCTTTTTCATGGTGAGGAACATTGTGAACCACATGGGGGTTCAAGTGCTGACAACTAGATCAAATCTAATTTACCTCAAATTAGTCATTGTATTACTTTAATTGAAGATTTAAGCAAACACCAAATTATGCATTAGATAGAGTAATCAAAGGTGGCTCTCAAGGTGCAGAGCTGTCCATTGAAAAGGAGCTCTTACTGGTATTTGGATATTGCATGGAAATTAACATACTTTTTTGTGCTAGACATGGCTATTATATATAAATTCAAATATGATGCTAGTTGATGGGATGGGGATATTCTCATTGAGGAATATGGCCAATTCACAATTATATTGTTCTGAAGGAGCCCCCATTGCATATTACACTTGATTTCAATAACCTATTTCCAGCTGGAACCATTCATGATCCATGTCTTGCTGATTGCAATGGCAATAAGGGAAATTAAGTATTTGGCTGTGCCTAACAAAGTTGTGCAGTGAGAATCCTTTTTAGTTGCTTTCATCTTTCCTATTGCAATGCACTCTTTAATGTAAAATTTGGAGTTTTAACTAGCTTTATATGGGTACTAGTGCTAGTTATGATCTTCTTGTAAGTTTCTTCTTAGCCTATGAAAAGATAATTCATCTCATTTGTCTTTATGCAGCTACAACTTTGACAAGCTGGCATCTTCTTGTCACTTTCTGTTCACTTCATATCGCTTTATGGATGAAATTTTTTGAACACAAACCTTTTGATCGAACCGCCGTCATAGGCTTTGGTGTTTTAAATGGCATTTCAATTGGACTTTTAAACCTTAGCCTTGGTTTCAATTCTATTGGTTTTTATCAGGTATAAATCATATCTTTTGAATCTTTTATATTCTCTATTTCCACATGTTCAAATGCTAGGTCTTCGCTTAATGAAATTTCTGCACTAAGGCTTTGTTGCTTTTGTGTTGTAGATGACTAAGCTGGCAATCATACCTTGCACTGTATTCTTGGAGTCCCTTTTCCTTGGCAAGAAATTCAGGTTAATCTTGAGATACTCCACCGTTCTACAACATAGTAGTTGACACTTAAATGCACATTCAGTCATCTGATTTAGTTTATGCTCTTATCAGACATACATCATGTGCATCGGTGATGGAACTAGTTTCTGTATTGTTGGCACCTTTGTTGAATTTCTCTTATTTGTGCATGTTGAAGCTTTCCTAGGGCACTTTACATGACCAGATTCATTTATCATTCTAATTTTTTGTGGTTTACCTCCCCATATTTAGCTGCAATCCTCATTTTCACATGTGTGCTGTTACATGTTTGAGGTTGGAAGTCCAAAAACTTGAGCTGAACACACAAATCTGCTGAAGTGCCTGGTCCCATGTTTTTTGGATGCCAAAATTGGATTTAATTATTTTTTTCTTTCTGGATTGCTTCTGTAATGATTATTGCACCTTTATGTCATGAATCATGATGGTATATGAACTGGGACTAAAAAGCCATTTTTCATATTGCCTGTAAATTATTTATCTAATTAAAGATTTTTTTATTATCCTCAGTAGTCAATCCATGCTAATGTTGGATATAATATTATTAATTGCGTTGTCTTTTGATCATTACGATGAAGCTTTCTTTTATTTTGTATTTATAATTTTCATTTAATGCGTTAAACTTTTAATCCTTATCTTTTGGCCTGGACAAAGTTAAATTTGCTTAGGAGATGTCAGGAGAGAGGTCTTTATTGCTATGTCTGCCCTTTTTTCATTTGAATATCAAAACAGATATATCTTAGGTGTTAACAATATCTTGGGGTCATCGGACTGAGGAAAATCTTTGAATTAACCGTGGTGTACTTGCGGAAAACTCCTTAGTGAGGGGCTTTGATCCGGACACCGTGGTGCCAATCACCAAAAAAAAAAAAGAAAAAAAAGATGACTAAAATATGAAAAAATAAATTATGGAAGACAAAAACAAAAAAAAGAAAAACGAAAAGCTCAAAAAATGTATTTGAATTTAAAAATCAAACATGGTTAAGTTTCTTAACCGTTACTTGTAAATATGAGATACTGATCTTTTGTTAATTTTATTAAGATGGTAATATAAAGTGCCATTTTTTTTTATAGACTGGCCTTGGATTTTTTATTACTAACCACCGTTATTTTATGCACATGGGTTGTGTCCTTTTCTAGCACAAAGTGCCTTTATCTTTGAAAATTTAAAAATAAAATGTTTTGTTTGCTTTGACTACTTGTTAATCTGGAAGTTAGGGATCCTCACAAGCAGAAGGAGAACAATTTATCTTGGTAACTCATTCATGTTATGCCTATGAATTGTGTCATAAAGAAGGTTGCTTCTACTTCCTAACTTTTTGTGGTTGCATGGGTGGCCCATTGTGTTGGAGAATGCTAAAAAGTTGCAAATTTGTCATAATACTACAATAACGAGTCATGAAACCTTTTTTGGAAGTCTTTGAATAGCAATTAAAAGACTTGAAACAACATTGGGAAAACAGTGATGAATTATGCATGGAGATTGATAGTGAAGTATTTACTTACAAAGGAGATTGATGAAGGATGTTCAAAGAACAAGAAAGATCTTTGTATGATCATTGATGACTTGGAGAAAGCACATGATAGATCTGAAAGATATGGTGTGATTTGAGAAGAGAAGAGTCAGAAACAGATCAGCTAATATATTGAAGACCATGTATGATGTTACTGTGACTGAAATAAAAACTAGGAGAGAAGCAAGTGCATTCTCAATAATAATAATGCCCTTGTGTAAAATCAACTCTAAATCATTGCCTTTTTGCCTTAGTTATTGATGAATTAAAAAGGCATGTCCAAGTTGAGGATTTCTGGCTTTTGTGATTGGTTGATGATTTTGTTAATAGTAATTGCAAAATTAGAAGTTCGAGAAAAGCTTTAAAATTAAAAAGGCTATACAGAAGTAGGATTAGAATGAATACACAGGATGTAACTTTTGCAATACTTGAAATGAAAAATTGAAGTTGTGAATGTTGATAGCAGCAAATACCAAATAGTGAAATTTTTTGTTATCTAGTCTTGATGTTTCCATAGGGAATGAGAGATTGGAGAATATGTTGCTTAGAATTGAAGTTGGATTGGTCGAGTGAAACTTTGTGTGGAGATAAGTGTGAGTGATTAATGAATGTGATTGTGGAATTTGATATTCCATTATAAGACCATTCATGCTTCATGGACAAATGCATGGTAGTTAAGAAATATCATGTCCATATGAATATGGGATAAGCATGGCTAAAATACAGATGTTGATAAAGATGTATCGTGAGATAGGAAAGGCTAAAATTAGAAATGAACACGTCTGTTGTAAGATGATAGCATAATCTGTTCTTGATTAAAAAAAGCCGAGTTAATGGTTTTGGTCCTTGTGCAATGAAGACAACAAATACTACATTAAGCACGCATTGGGGGTAATGCTAGTGAGGAATGCCAAAATCAATGTGGGTTACAATAGTACAAGAAGTCATGATAACATGTGGGTGAATTGAAGTTTATGGCCCTAGAAAATTTGGAATGGAAAAACAAGATTTCTGTGGTAGATTCCAAATGGGGAATGAGGTTTCCTTGAGTTGAGTTGGCACATTGAACTGTCAAGAATTATACATGTATGTATATATTATATAAGAAATAATAATTTGACAATTCAAGTGAAATAAAGTTTTCTTGAAAATGTTTGTGGTAATCTAGAAAAGTGCCTGAAGAATATCTTGGGCTATTCTTCAAGTTGAATTTTTTTTTCCTCGACTGTTACCTGATCTGTTCAATTTGGAGCTTCAACAGTTGTTAAGCAATATATAATATTCAAGTAAATTATCAAGTTATTCCAAATCTTATTCCTTGAGCATGTATTCTGACTTTTATTAGTCTCTGATTATTTAGGCAGTATATATAAATAAGGTGATTGGATTATGGATATATCAATCGATCTCTAAATATTTTTATCTCCCAAGTTGTGCTTGCATTCAGTTCTGCTCTATTATAGGCACTTTGTCACCCAATTTGTTTACTAGTTTCAACATAAAGTCATGCTTTCAGCTAATGTTTACTTGAAGTTGCATTTCTTCAATCACGATTGCTATTGATTTTTATCTGGTCAACACTGTGTATTATAAGTTTTTAAACTCATATTGTTCTCCAGTCGTGGGATTCAGATGTCTCTTGTCATCCTTCTTCTGGGTGTTGGAATTGCAACTGTTACTGATCTGCAACTCAACGTTCTGGGCTCCATCTTATCCCTCCTTGCAGTTGTTACAACATGCGTTGCTCAAATTGTATCCTTCAGTCTAGTTGGCTTACCTGCATGCATTGACCTTTTATCATCAACAATTGGCAAATGAAGAAAAATCAAATTAGTGAAAGTTTAATATGAACAAACAAGGCCATATACTTATATTGCCAAGTAGCCAATGCATTTCTTTATACATGTGTAAAATTATAATAGATACAGTATTCTCGTATGCATTGCAAGAACAAGCCGTCCTTGGGCTACGTGTTTCTTCTTGTTTGGAAGCCATACTTTATTCTTGTTTATTATCTTAACTAGTTCCTTTCAGATGACCAATACCATCCAGAAGAAGTTTATGGTTTCATCAACCCAACTTCTATATCAGTCTTGTCCATACCAAGCAATGACCTTGTTTATTGTTGGTCCATTTCTGGATAGGCTTCTAACCAACCAAAATGTATTTGCTTTCAAGTATACATCCCAAGTACTGGTGAGAATTATATATATTTTCTGAAGCAGTATTTTTCTTTTCTTCCTTTGAATTGTTTTTTTTTTTTTCAAATTCTAAATCAGTTACTGCTATTGCAGGTTTTCATTGTTCTATCTTGCTTGATCTCTGTCTCAGTTAACTTTAGTACATTCCTTGTAATTGGAAAGACATCCCCTGTCACCTATCAGGTACTGGGGCATCTCAAAACATGCCTAGTATTGGCTTTTGGTTATGTTTTACTTCATGATCCTTTTAGCTGGAGAAACATTTTTGGAATTGTTGTTGCAATGGTTGGGATGGTTCTATATTCATACTATTGCATTCTTGAGAGTCAGCAAAAAGGTTCAGAAGCATTGGCACAAAAATCCCAGGTACTACATAGTGTTGTTAACAAATTCTTTTATCAAACAATATTACATTCTTTACTCCCCAAAAATGTTTTCATCAAGACTGTGTTTGGATCATAGATTTGGATGAAGATTTTGGAAAGGGAAAGGGAAAGGGAAAGGTGAATGAAATGTGAATAAAATATAAGCTAAATTTGTTCTCCGTTTCCTTCCCTAAATCCCAATCCAAATCCAAATCCAAATCCATGATCTAAACACAACGTAAATGTGATATGTTGTGGAAACATGCTTGCAAATACTCTTTTTTTCTTCTGTCTGATTCAGGCAAAGGAAGGTGAATCTGATCCTCTAATGAGTGTGGAAAATGGAACTGAAGTTTTAAAGGATGTTGTCCCAAAAGCTCCTGTATGGGACTCAGACACGTATTCCCCTGTATGGAACTCAGACAAGTATTCGCGTGTGTGAGGGCTTCTTTGAATTAAAGTTATTCACATACCCAAGAGTGGCTGGGATGTTGCAATTTACAATGATGAAGAAGTTGGCGAGATAGGTTTATCCACGTGTGCATCTTCAAATCACATAGCGGCATAGGTTTGGAATAAAGATTAAAGCTTCCCTGCTACCAAAGCATTTTTGTAAGTTTCAATAAACACACTTCCATATCTGTGCCTCCTTAATAGTTTTCTTAGTGAGCTTGATTTGCCAACAGATATTGTTTTGACTTGAAAGAAATATGTATTACTTGCATTGTTCCTGGATTTTAGTAGAATGTAGATGGATGACATTTATATAATTCTCTTGTTATCTATAAAAAATGAATAATTTGATGCCCTGAATCATTTTTCAGATTAAGGGGTCCTCTTTGTCACGATGTTACTTTACTTTTTGTTCATATCTTTGTTTTCTTCTTTTATATGTTTGCTTGAGAAACTAAATGTTCCTTAATTGGCGAACGAGAAATATGACATATTGACCCATAAAGTACTTATAGTACAAGAAAATTTTTCTATTGACATCCTTGAATTCACATATTAAGGAAATTTCCGAATAGTTCTTTCTGTAGCCTGAGTTGGTTCCTTGGCCTTAGCTTGGTGCTCCGTGGCAGTGTGAATTGGATTGTATGCCCTCATGCACAAACATGAAATTTGTTGCTGCAGCAAAAGCCCAAACCACATCTCCACAAAACCCATCTTGAATTTGATGCCCAAGAGAGTCTGGACCCTAAGGGGCAGTGTTTTCTTCTCACGGTTAAAGTTTTTTTATTAGATTAGATCATAGAAGCAACATTTTAAGGTGTGGCATTACTGCTACTGGTTAATGTTCAACCCAAATCGTCACGGTAACTGCAAAGTAAAATTTGGCATGTGCGTTTCAGCTTGGTTAACATGAAAATGATTTGACTTATACCTCGTTTCCGTGTAAAGAATTTTCAAAATAATTGAAAGGAGGAGAGAATCACAAATGGTTGGTGTAATGTTTGACAGCATCCAGTTCGAACAAATTCAGTTGAGTTTCAAGTTTGAATAGCTTCGAATGAATGGTAACTGTTGGAAAAATGATAGTTGCAAGGCAAAAGTTTGAAATCATGCTCAAATTATGAATTTGAAACCAAAAATGAAAAGATGTGACCCAAACTGAAAGGGTAAACGTTTTCAGTTTGCAGTGTACAAAAAATAAAAATAGGTTTTCGTTTACTTTTGTAAAAAAATAAAAACAGAAAACGTAGCTTGGTATGCAAAAATATTTTGAAAACAAATAAAACTAAAAATTGAGAAATATATTTGATGAGTGGCCGAAGTTGGTGGTTAGAGATGGAAGGTGGACGGATGTGGTGACTGGTAGTGGCGGGTAGCTAAAGGTGTCCGCCGGTAGTGGTTGGATATCGTTAAAGGACACGAGATAGTTGGAAAGATGCCAAAAGGTGGCCGAAGACCACGATTGTGACTGCCTACCTGCTAGAGAGCCATCAAAGGTTGACCGGAGCTCGCCACCCATTGGCGGCGGAGGGTGGTGGTGGTGCCCAAAGGTGGTGGGTGAGAGGAAAAGTGAAAACTTGTTTTAGAAACAAGTGGAAATAACTTTTTTGTGTTTTTAAAAATTTTGAAATCAATTTTTTTTTTTTTTGATAATAAAAACAATATACCAAACAAATTTTCGTTTTTAATTTTGAAAAAAAATAAAAACAAAAACAGAAAATAAGAAATAAATATGTTAACAAACGACCTCTAAGATTTGAACAAAACAAATTAAGAGGCAGAGTTTTACACTCTTCTTTCCTTGCTATGTTTGCTTCCAATTCATACTGGGTGTGCCTTGGTTAGTTTGGACAGATTTTGGAGGGAATTCATCAACCGAATCACCTTTGATGGATTGACAAATTTTCAACCTGTCACTAATCCACCGATACTGAAAATCAATGGATTGATTGGTTGAATAATTCGTCAGTTTCAAACTAGTGATTTGAATAGATTACAAGAGTTAGAAATATAAATAAAATAGAAAATAACATCAATAAACATACAAATTTGAATTTTTTTATGATTTTAAAACTCCCAAATTAATTGAATGTATAATGTTATTCAAAATCATATTTTATAAATTAATAGATAAAATAATCATATTAAGGAAAAAATTATGGAATGAAAAATTAGGAGTGAGTTTCATCTGATTGATGTTACTTACTAACCGATAGGAAGAGAATGCGTGTGACAAAATACAAAATAATTGAGTAAACATACAGTTTGGGTTAATTTGTAGACAAATTAACAAATTTTAATCTCAACTTAATCAACTCAACGATTTTTATCATTTGCCCCGTTTCGTCTAACCCACCTGTATGATCAAATTGTGTGGAATGGTTCGGGTCAATGTTGGCTCGGAGGTTCGTGGTTTTTTTGCACGTTGTCAATTTGTGAATGAAAAATACTTCGTTCCCGTTTAGTTTTCATGTTGGGACTAAATAAGTACCTATGGATAAAAAAAATATATATAAAATCACAAAATGACAAAACACTTGATTTGGGATGCAAAATTACCAAATTGACTCATATACAAACAAAAAGTCAAAAAAGTATCATTTCCAAGTGGAGGGCAATTTTGTCATTCCAATACAAAAAAGCCAACATTGCCAAACAACGTAACTCGAATTTGTATGGTTTGAATGTATCAAAACGACGTCGTTTTAAGATATTCGAGCCATTCAGCTCATGAAAATTCGGGTTATCAATCATTGTTGTTTGTGATTTTATTACATCAAAAACTTCTATATTATAGTTTCTGAAAAATAAAACATATTCTTGGTAGATTTACAATTTTATTTTTTTATTTATAGATATTTAGGTTTGTTGTTTTACAATGCAAGCAAATTATCAGAACTTCATAATTGTATTCTGGTGGGTATATTTGCATAACACTATCAATGTGAGAATATATCATATATTAAAAAAAGGAAGAATTAATATTCTAACCAAACAAGGGGTCATTTGGGAACAAGTTAAAAAGTCAAAAGTCAACTTTTAATCTATTTTAGATTATATCACCTCTCACATAAAAAGACAAAAAAGCTATTAAAATTAAAAAATCAATTTTTAACCAACTTTTCAAATCGCCCCAAGTATAACTTGTTACAATTTCTTTTAAATTTCCACCATCTCATTTTACCTGATTGATAGTTCTTAACTCTTCTCAGAAATTAAATAAGATAAATAAATTACTTTGTTAAAGTTGTTCCAACATTTTGGTTTAATTATAAATTTTCTGTTAGAAATAATAAAATCTTAAATATTATGAGTCTATACAATGAGATTAAGATTCAATAAGTCTCATAAGTATATTTCTATCAAAAGAAACTAAAATAGAAAAATTATTTTGATTTTGTACTCAAGCTTTTCCTACTCCCGAAAGGACCCAATTAACATCTCACAACAAAACATCCAAATGGAAAATAATTTTTTTTAAAAAAATCTGGTAATCAGGCAACCATTTATCTCAAAAATCTTATTTAAAACATAAGTGAGAAAATTATTAGGGCGAATTACATTAACGATCCTTATATTGAGACTTGTATCATTTTAATCTCTAATTTTTTAATTGTGACATATTTAATCTTAAATTTTGAATATTTTTTCAAATAAGGACAATTGAAGATACCATTACTTAATTTCAAGGGTAAAATCGTCAATTTAATAAAATATAAACTAATTTGAAAAAAATATATGTCAAAAAAATATTTTTGAATTTTTAATAATTATTTCTACCTACTAAAGATAAAATTATATAAAATTGATAAATCTTTTAAACATTTATTAATTTATTTATTTACCAAATTAATTTTTATTATTTATTTGGATGATGATCATGTAATGAGTGGTTATTTTTATTTTCATTAAATTAGTTTCTATTTGTTCAAAAGTCAAATATGACAACAACTTTGATATCATTATTAAACGAATCCATTAAATCAAAAAAATCCAAAACTAAATATATTTCATATATTAAATATATTGATTACACATTAAAATCTTAACAACCATCAATTACATTATCATCATTCAAACACATAATAAAAATTAATTTGGTAAAATAAATAGATAAATAAATGTTTACAAGATTTATCAATTTTACATAATTTTATCTTTGGTGGGTAAAAATAATTTTTAAAAATTAAAAAATATTTTTTAACATTTATTTTTGTCAAATTAGTTTATATCTTATCAAATTGATGATTTTGTCTTTGAAATTAAGTAATGGTATCTTTAATTGTCTTTATTTGAAATAAGATTCAAAATGTAAGGTCAAATATGTCACAATTGAAAATTCAATAGTGTAATTCGCCCAAATTATTATTTGTATCCTTTCAATAGTGTTGGAAAGGTTGAGAGAAAATGGCTGAAAAAATTGCTAGGGCAACGATTGATTATGGTAGTAATATAGACAAATTTGATAGATAACTAGGTGATACATAGATAAATAAGAAAATAACGTATGAACAAAAGGTGGACGGTAGATAAATAGACAAATATATAAATGTAATATAATTTTTTTAAAATTATTTTATTTTTATGACACATACACACAAAAAAGGGAAAAAAAAATTGAAACTATTGTTACAACAAATTTAAAACAAAAATATAAGAAATTTTAAAAATTCAAATGTCTTATATAGATGTGAAATTCACATAAAATTCACATAGTGTGAATCTCAGACACTTAATCAAAATTTTAATAAATGTTTTAAAATTTCTAATATTACGCAATTTAAAATTAGATTTATGGTCTAACAGCAGAACTGATAGACAAATTTTATCTTATCTTATTAAGATGGCCCACTGTTGTTACTATGGTCGCATATGCGCACACCGATTCGATTCACAGTTTTAACGCACTCACTCAACTCACTTTATATATCAATTCAACTCCGTCTTCTTCTTCCTCACTCTCTACTGTCTATCTCTCACATCTCTCTCTTTTGATTACATTACAGACAGTTTTAAGAAGATTCTGATTAATGGCTCTTCGGACTCTGTTGACCAGAAAAGCCCTTACAGGAAGTGGGCTAGGGTTAGGGTTTCAGAGCATCCGGGGATTTCAGACCTTCTCCCTCCCGGATCTCCCTTACGACTATAGCGCTCTCGAGCCGGCCATCAGCGGTGAGATCATGCAGCTCCATCACCAGAAGCATCACAAGACTTACGTCACCAACTACAACAAGGCTCTCGAGCAGCTCGACGACGCCATGGCCAAGGGCGATGCACCGACAACCGTCAAATTGCAGAGCGCCATCAAGTTCAACGGCGGAGGTTTCTCTCTCTCTCTCTCTCTCTCTCTCTAGCTTTAAACTCAATCGCGCATAGTATCTGCTAATCCAATTGTTTAAATGAATTTTTATTATTTATTTGTTTTTATTTTCATGTAATGAGTGGCTGTTTTTTCTTATTTGTTTTTCCTTCTTCTATATATGTGCAATTGATTGATTGCTCGGTGACTGTATCACATTCTTAAGAAATGATTTGATTTGTGTTTAGAGCAAGTGTGATAATGCTTGCCTTGCTGCTTCGACTCTCTAAATTTGAGTGATGATAGAGACCCACATTTGACACCCCTAAATACGCTACAATTATGTGGCAAGGAAGTAGAGATCTACATGATCAATACATAATTGAGTGTGTGACAAATCAAAAGTTGACACCTATCATTCCACTTCATTGCGAAGGGTTTTATTAGGGGAGAATGTTTAAGACACAAAAAATTCCCATAATTGTTGGTATTATATGGGTCAACTTTTGATTTGTTATACATCCAATGACTTAGATTGTGTTTGATTGGAGATTTTGGAAGGGATTTGGAAATGAAAAGGGAATGGAAAAAGAAAGTTGAAATATAAATAAAATATATTTACATTTTACACATTTTTTCCTTTTTCCTTTTCATTTCTAAATCACTCCTTAAATCTCTCAACCAGGGCTGCAAACAAACCGAGCCGAGCCGAGTCGAGCCGAGCTTTGCTAAGCTTGAGCTCGGCTCATTGACTTATCGAGCTCGTTTATTGAGCTCGAGCTCGGCTCGATAAGAAATTGGGCTCGAGCTCGGCTCGGCACAGCTCGGCTCGTTAACATTAATGAAACTTGAGCTGAGCTTGGCTTGGGTCTATAATTTTTTTAAAATATTATTTATATTATTTAAATAAAAAAATTTATTGATATTATTTAATATATAAATAATATATTTATTATATAATTTAAATAAAGATAAACGAGCAGAGCTTGACGAGCCGAGCTTATGCGAGCTTGAGCTCGGCTCGTTTTCTAAACGAGCCTAATAGTCGAGCTCGAGCTCGGCTCGTTTACTAAACGAACAGAGCCGAGCCGAGCCCTTAACGAGCCGAGCCTAGCTGAGCTTGTTCATGAACAGCTCGGTTCATTTGTAGCCCTACTCCCAACCAATCATAGCCTGAGGGCCCAACTCTCTTGTCACATCATTGTGGGTGGACTTGTGGATCTAAGAGTGTGGGTCTCTTGATTGCTCTATTAGGGTTCTCAAACATTATCCAAGAGGTAAAAATGTGAAGATCTGATTATTTGTTTATTTATCAAGTGCCCTTTTAAAAATTCCAATTCAAATTGGACAATTAATATAGAGATCTTTAATGCTGGGTTTGGTTGGAAGATTTGGGAAGGGATTTGGAAAGAAAAAGGGAAAAGGTGTGTGAAAGTAGGTGAAATATTGGTATATTTTATTTATATTTCGCATACTTTTTTCCTTTTTCCTTTTTCTTTTCAAATCTTTCCTAAATCTCCCAACCAAATACAGCGTGAAAGTGTTGTTATGGATTGGGATTATGGTTGTCTGAAGACATGATACTGTGAAATGGTGGCTCCTTTCAGTACTTAAGTGATCTTATCATTGCTTGTATTAAAAGAATGTGAGTTGAACTTCTCATATTGGTAGTATAAGTGTTGGGTTATACATTCCCCTCCCCCTCCCCCACCCGCGGGCTACCTGCTCTGCCTTGTTGTTTGCTGTTTTACTTTCTGGCAATTTCACTAATCTTATGAATCTTGTTGTGATTATCACCTATTAGGTGTGGCCCTGTTTGATTGGGTATATAATGGGACAACAAAAAAATGTCGGTCTCAAAGGATATGCAATACGATACCCCCCATGGTATTGTATATCCCCACCATAGGATATGAGTTATCATTCACCCAACAGTCAAAAAATAATCACTCTCCTTTTATCTCATGTTATATCTTACCCTCACCAAGCATGTGTTTTATGATTAGAATTGTCAATCACCGGAAAATATGCAAAAAAATAAATTTTTTTTTTTTCAATGTTTGCCATCTTGGTAATGTTATGATTATTCCTGTTTAATTGTTGTCCTTGGAGTTGTTTGTATGTTTGTAAACTTATTGGTGTTTTTGAACAGGGCATATCAACCACTCACTTTTCTGGCAGAATCTTGCTCCAGTTCGTGTACGATTATAACCTGAGCCCTTTTCCAACAGTCCTACCTATTGCTCTATTTCTTTTGACTAGACTTTGAAAAAATGCCAAAATCTTATTGCAGGAAGATGGTGGTGAGCCTCCAAAGGGTTCTTTAGGTTGGGCTATTGACACAAATTTTGGTTCATTGGAAGCATTGATACAGAAGATGAATGCTGAAGGTGCAGCTTTACAAGGCTCTGGATGGGTGGTAAGTGCTTTAGTTGTTTGAAATGTTCTGAAATATGTTTTTCATTCGTTGCACTTTCTGAAATGTTCTGAAATATGTTGTTATTTTTTTTATTTACATTCTTATATATGACAGTGGCTTGGTGTGGACAAAGAACTGAAGAAGCTTGTGGTTGAAACCACGGCAAATCAGGTAACACTCTGCAGAGATTGCCATCAAGTCATTTCATAATGATCAATCCTAGGTTTGCTCTCTTAATATCGTTTCTACTAATTCTTTGTGCCCCTCCTGCCATCTGATATGGGAAAAGTTAAATTGTTTTGTTGACTCTAGTTGGATTGCTCAAATTCTTGTCCTGGGATTTGTGAACCATCTCTTTGGGTTATTTAATCGTTTCAGTACAGTAACTGTTCACAAATTATTTCAAAATTTGAAATATGAGTTGTCAGCACTCTTGATTTTAGATGGATTCCCACTCTTCATTTCTAGAGCTCACTGATACTGATATATGTGTGTTAAGTACAAGTTTGCTTTTAGACTAATGCTAATTGTCTTATTCCTTCCTTGTTTTTAGAGGAATTCTGCAATAATGAAAACTTCTTATGCATTAGAGAAACTAGAGCTCATTATGCTTTTTATTATAATTGGTTACTTATTATTTATTATAATTTTGTAATTATTATTGTTTAATCATATTTTTAATGTCTTGAATTATCTGTTACAGGATCCACTGGTAACTAAAGGACCAAGTTTAGTTCCTCTGCTTGGCTTAGATGTTTGGGAGCACGCATACTACTTACAGGTAATTCTTTATCGTTTGAGTTTTGTTTGTCCTTTGGTTGTTTCATTGTGGTAGAGATTTATCACAATTTAGACATGCGGAGGTCAAGTCTATCTTTTTTGGGTAAATTACACTCTCACGCCTTAAAATATGTGCATTTTCTCATTTTGGTCTTTAAAGAAAAGATTCTCATTTTAACCCCTCAACTATATGACTTTTTCTACTTGGATCCAAATGCCAACATGTATTAGGGTTACGGGACAATTTTAATATTTTAAAAAACCAACAATGCTACATCTCTCTAATTTATTACCATTGAATGACCTTTAATAATGTGGCATTGAGATTAGACCCCACATGATGGAATGCTTGACAAATCAAAAGTTGACTCTTGTCAGACACATCATTAGGGTTGATTTGTGTCTCAAGCATTTTTCTTAAACAATATACCAATTAAGCCACTAAAACAAAGCCTAAACCTAAATCAATCATCCTAATCCACGCATTAGTCCCCTTCCTTTCTTTTCCTCCAACTCCACCACCCTTCTCCCCCATCTTGCCACCTTTCCCCACCTCGCCCACACACTCCACCTCCGCCGCCCCCACCCATGTCATGTCGTCATCACCACCCCCACCACACTTATTGCCAACTCTGCAATACTCACCCCTACCACCTATGTAGAGTAGGTACGAGTATTGGGTGTAGATCCAAGCGTTAGACCTTCATAAAATTAAATATTAGAATATTGAGATATGTATCCAAAAGTTGGATATGGATGCAAAACATGTCATGGACACTTGTATGTATTATATATTGTATGATATTTTTGGATAAGATGTATATTATGTAAAAATATACTTGTAATTAAATAGGAGTTAGGAAAAATATGAAATTTCTATCTGTCATCAATGTGAGAGGTTTGTAATGTTTATTTATTAGCAAATGTGAGTTTTTGCTTCTTTAAATATTGTAAAATTAAGAGATCCAAGTGCGGGTGTCAAACCCATATCACACACCCTTATCCTTGTTGTATTTGATGGACACGAGTATTTTGGGAGAAATAGAAGAGTCCATGTAGCACAGCCAGCCGCCACACTTCTAGCCCCACTTCCACCCTTGCCATTGCCACAGCACCAATGTGCCACCAGGCGTACCACCATCAACACATCCCACAATGTGCCACCACCCACCCCTCTTCTACCTCCCAATCCCCGTGCCTTTTCCACTCCGTACCCTGCATCTCTTGCTCTCCCAGCCACAACCAGTCTCTATCAGCTGCCACCGCCAAAATTATTGGCACAAACCCACATCAAATTGTTGCCTCTACCTCAGTGTCGACAACTCCATTTTGTGAGGTTTCTGCTCTGATTTGGTTTTTGTTGATGGAGGGGTGAACAATGTTAAAGCAATTTGCTGTGATGAGGGAAAACGAAGGGTGCGAATGGTTGGGGATGTGATTTTGCAGATTTGTAGGTTCACAGTGGTTCGGAGGTGGCAATTGCAGGGGGTTGGTGTTGAACTGGTGTGGGGGATAAGAGAGGAGAGGTGCCTAGTGGAAGGTATCAATCAACTTCTTGTTGGTCTGTCACGCTGCGAGGTGTGATGGGCAGTCCCTATGTATGTCGTCGATTGAGATAATGGAAGATTGGGTTTGGAGAGAGAGAGGGGATCTGGGCTGCAAGGGCAGGAGTGTCATGGGGGATGGTGCTCAAGGATTTGGGGATGGAAGCGCACACAATTTTTTCTTCCTTTTTTTGTCAGAATTTGTTTTAATATTTCCATGAGTTACCCATGGAAATGGGTTGAATGTGGGTCAAGTCGGGTGCTTTAGCTAGCAAAGTGGGAGAAACTTTTTTTTAAAGACCAAAGTGAGAAAATGCTCAACAATGCCATACATCGAAGGGTCCGTATGAGATGTCCATCTTCTCTGATAGATATGTTCAAACTTGAGCATCAATAAGCTATAAATTGGTTACTGGGGAAACTTTGTAAATAAGATATGAAGAACTAACTAAATGGGCTCGAGTTAAGAGACTGTAGTGTATGTAGCTCACATCAAGAAACCATAAAGTGATTTGGAAAAATAGTTAACTCACTTCATCCTGTTCAATTATTGGAATCTCCCCCTGATTTACTCCTCTTTTCCGTGTGCTGAATGCTTTTTTGCCCCCCTTTTTATAATGCAGTACAAGAATGTAAGACCAGATTACCTGAAGAACATATGGAAAGTTGTGAGCTGGAAATATGCCAGTGAAGTGTATGAAAAGGTATGCCCTTGAAGGAACTCTTCATCCTTGACAACCGGCTTCCAAAGGTGGTGTTAATACATCTGTTTGTTTTTAAGAATGAATAAAACGATGTTTGCACAGATGAGGGGCCTTCATTTTCAATTGTGGTGTTTGCTTGCTGATGTTTTCCTTGTTTGGGAACTAAATGAGCATGTTATGTGACCTCTATTGTTCTAAAGTTATCCTGCAAACTTCACCTTTTTCACTCGTGTATCTAAAACCACCCAGAGATTAATTATGTCACCGTTTTTTTAGTTCACATCTGGCTCTGATATGAGAAGTAGTAAGTGATATTGAGGTTGGAAGTTGTTTCAAAGATAAAATGCCCAGGTTAACATGTCCAGAAAGGTCTGGTGATGCTTTAGCAGATGCTTTGAGATGATAGATAAACCACACGATAGCAAGTAGTGAGTTTTAGGTAGCAAGACGAAAGTCGCAAGAAGAGAGCTATAAATTTGGTTACAGTACAGGGTAACTGTTTTAAATATGGTGGGCAGACATTATCATCTGTGGATTCTTCACAAGTTCCACCATGATGTTCCTAATCGTTCATCTTTGTATTGTTTTCTGACTAATCTTGTATGCACAAACTCCATATTAATCAGGCAATTGTTGTCGCATGATTCTGCCAGATTTGTCTTTAATATAATAGATGATATATTCTCAAAATCAAATTTACCGCCGCATTGGCTGGATGTCGTAAGTGCTTGGTGTTTAGAGGCAATTAGTGTGGTGTTATATACTAAAGTGGCTTCATGTTCTGTTCTATAGTTTCTCTAGTTATCATCTCACGAACTTTCACCTTTTCCATGCTCTCATGTATATACATATTCCAAACTTTCAGGTGATTTTAATGTATATACATATTCCAAACTTTTTGGTGATTTTAGTGTATCGTGATTTAATAGCATGGCTCACAGGGCAGTTGATGGAGTTTTGTTATTGGGTGTCAAACAAAACAAGGAGGGGGGCGGAGCTCATGAGCTATCTTACATGAAGTGAGCTATCTTACATGAAGTATGGGTGTCAGTTCGTGCCCAAGCAGTAAAAAATTTAGAAATTAAATAACTTATTTAGCAATTGGCTATAGTGTTTTTTTTTATTAAAAAAAAAAGAAGAAAGATAAAACCGTTACTTAAAAAGTTGATGGATGGCAAATGGGTGAATTTTTTTTTTTAAATCTTTCTACACTGACCTTCAAAATAAAAAATTCACTTGAGAAAAAAATAAAAAACTAAAATATTTTTTAACATTTGCTAAACAAATTGAGTCTTGTAAAAAAGACTTTTTTTCTCTCTTTTGGAAGTTAAATTAACACTGGCCAAAAATGCAAAAGCTATATATATATATATATATATTTGCTTAATTAGATAAAAAGAAACCTTTCTAGTCTTTATTTTTATAGTATTAAACACAAATCTTTAAATATTGAGCTATGTACCTAAAACATAGATATTAGTAGAAGGGGGCATCATAGACACGTACATATCACAATGATAAAATATTAGATGTAATAATTAAATAGAAAATTTCTATCTCTCATGGTTAAAAATATTTAGTTACTAGCAATGTGAATTTCCATTTTTACAAACATCATAAAAAAAATTTAAAGAATCCGAGAATATAAATTGTATATGACATATATTTAACACTTTTTTTTTTTTTTTTTTTTGAGAACATAAAGAACATTATATTTTACACCCTCACCCCTTATTATATTCAGTAAACACTGAATATTTCAAAAGGTATAGAAAAATCCATTTATCACATCTCGTGGCAAGAATCATGGTGGCAATGACAAATGTAATGGTAGACTTAATTTTGCACCAAGAACATGAAAGAGGCATGTCACATGCGTCATTCTATGTAATTTTGTCAATGACACATAAACATGCACATCTAGTAGAGTGTTGTTCCTCTTCCAGGTACCCCTTCTCGATGGTCGTGCCTTGTGGTGCAAATGTCCCTTTCCACGAAGACCCCAGTATTTCTTCCCAGCCGAGGTGAGTCCTCGAAGCTCTCTGTGCTTGTGAACAGGGTTGCAGATCCAGTTGATCCTGGGGTCATTACGGATTGCATTGTGGGCAGGATCAACCAAGATTACCTCAAGGTATTTGTAAGTAGAATCCTGAAAGAATAAATGGCGAGAATTAAAATGGCCAACTTCCGGACAATATCTCTTTAGCAGCTTAAACGACATTCGTGGACCAAATCCAGCAATTGGCGCATGTTTCTTAGCAAGGACAAGCCCAACCCATCACAAATACTTCTAGAAGGGAGTCATATCTGTGTCGTACTTATATAAGATATTGATACTCCATAGATACTCGCGAATACGTATCCGATACTTCCTAAACCTAATTAATATTTTTAAATTTTGAGAAGTATCAAATACTTTTTAGATACTCTACATCACATTTCCAAACTATTATAAAGTTGATATTGTAAATTTTTTTGCATAGTATTAGAGTACAAATGTTAAGATAAATACAACAATAGTTTTTTAATACTTGGTTTTAGAGAAGAAAATAGTGAGATTGTATTATCAAATTGTTTCAAAATTTATTAAACTGACATGTCCTTAATGTGTCATACAATGTGTCTCATATCCATATTATCCATACCTTATGGAAAATAAAGATAAAAAAAAAATATAGCAATACTAGAATTGGATTTCAACTATTAAACTTGATCATCACAGTAAAAGCCAAGGAGGAGGTTGCAGAGATGATTAGTGCTGGAATTAAGTACGAAAAGCACCAAAAACATGCAATCCACTGAAACAAGTGGTGTTTAAAAGCCTAAAACATCAAACGTGTGAGGACTATTACACTACAACTATGCAATACAAGACTCAAATGCAACAACCAATCCAAAAAAGAGTTAAAATAGCCTAAATCAGAGGCTAAAACATGCTAGAATTAAGCTACAACAAGCTAGCAAAATAAGCTAAAGCGGCACCAACTAGGCTATCAAACAAGACACAAGGAGAGGAAACCAACCCTTCCAAATTTAGACTTCAAAACATGATTTTTATCACTGAAAACACTCTGAAAATCAGTGTTTAAAGGCCCAAAAAAAGATGGTTTGAAAATGGAAAACCAAGGTATAAAGGCTTTTTAAACAAGGAATAAAGAGGGATGAACCACTCCCTAACCTTAAATAGCCAAAAATATCAATTTCAGCTGATAAAAATAGGTTTTTTTACAGCTCAAAAACAACCCAAAACTATTAAAAAAAAAAAAGATAGGAATACAAGTATGTAAAGCAAGCTTACAAAGCTAGTATTATACCTCTTGAAGAGAAGAGTGATTCCAAGCAACAATTCCAAGCAAATACCACCTTCTAGAGCTCAAACCAAGCCCAAGAACACCTCAGCTCAGAAATGAGAGGATTTGGTTAAGGGTGTATAGGCAAGAGTGTAGGAATTGTAGGCCAAAGTGTAGAAAATTTGTAGGTAGAGAGAGAGAGAGAGAGGAAAATTGCAGAGTCTAAAATTTCCTAATCTCAAAACATGAGAGAGGGGGTCCCTATATATAGAAAACATGAAATCTATACAAGGAGATCCAACCCTTCACATGTGGACAGATGTAAGCATTTGTGCAAACAGCTGGCGCAACTAGCATAAAAAATCTGCTGAAAACATTGATGGCCTGTCGGCCGGCCATCAGTGATGGCCGGCAAGGCACATTAATGGCCGGCATACAAGAAATGATGGCCGGCAGCCTCTAGGGATGGTCGACAGGCCACCAGAGATTGCAAGATGGAAAGACCAAGGCATGGTCCAAAAATGAAACAAAATAGATGTAGGGTTTGAAAGACTCAAAGTTGTAGCGTTCCGCTGAGGACTTCGAGTATTTGGTGAGCAAACAGACTCATTATCGGATGTACTTGCAAAAACATCGAAGTCCTGAAGGGTCGTAAAAAATGGGGTGTCTATAGTGCCCTGCCTGCCCACACTGATAACAAGTGAGCAGTTACCCTCTCTCTTGATTCTGGCTCTGAGAACGAGCCAAAAATGGTGCAGACCGTTACCTTTCTCCCTTCTGCGGGCAAGCCAGAGACTTGTGGCCCAACTGACCATATTTGAAACAAGTAATGTCTCCCTAACCACCTTTCCCAGAACCCGAACTCGGCACTGGAAAAGTAGACCTCGACTGAGCTCCTTAGGACGGCTGTGGGTTAGAACCCCTCTGCCTCTTACTGTCCTCCTGAATGTACTGGCTCCTCTTGGAGCCCCTCATCCTCTCCTCCTTTAACTGCATCATGGTCTCTAGATGAGCCGTCGCCTCCACAAGACATTTATAATCCCTAATCATCGACCTGGCCACTTTAAACATGAGCACGGTCCTTAATCTCTTCTCAAACTCCAGACAACGGTGCTTCTCAGTAACCACTAACTCTGGTGCAAACCTAAAGAGGCTAGTGAATGCGGCCTCAAACTCGGCCACCGGTGTGCTCAACTGCTTGAGCTGAGAAAACTGATCCCTCAATTTCTCTCTAACAATGGGAGGCAAGAACTTGTCCTGGAAGGCGTCAGCGAAAGCCTCCCAAGTCACTCTAATGCGCCCACATGCATACTTCCACCATTGACCTACATCTCCATTTAGCTGGAAGGATGCCAAGGTCACCCTCAAACCCCTATCTTTAATGCTGAGCATCTCAGATGTCTTTACCAACTGCTCTAGCCACTCATCTGCTTTCAGTGGCTCCTTAGAATCACCCAAAAACTCTTCCGGATTCGACCAGAAGAATTCTCGCTTCAGAAAAGACGACCCTGCCTCTATAGTAGTCTTTTCATTTTCAATCAAAACAACTATTATTATTTTCATAATTTTTAAAATGTCATTGACATTTCACTCTAATAATATTTTTGTAATTCTTTTTATTTAAAATATTTTCTTTATATTTGTAAAAAAGAAAATCACAAAATCCGGAGGGACACGTGACCCCCTGAGCCTTACGTGGCTCCGCCACTGCTTTCAACACTTTGGACTTGAGAGACAATGTCATCAGAAAGAGAGGAAAAAAACACAGTTAATTGTGTGTATATCAAGAAAATATTCATGTGTTTTTGCAAGGATATGAACATTGATGGATATTGGAACAAGATGATTTGCATTTCAAGCCAGATTCTGAGTTTGAAAAAAAAAAATTATTATCAGATGGGACCAGAACTTGGAAACCAGCCTTTTCCAACAACATATTTATTTTCAAGTTATTATTATTGCATTGCTATTTGGTAATAACATTGCTTTG